ATTATAAGAATGTATATTTACTTCAAATTTTGACTAATACTACATAAAAATTGCTTGGAAGTTGAATATATGTGCTTGAATATTTTATCAAATGTATAGTTCCTCAAGAAATCTGACATGCGTTAGGGTCAGAAAAGTAATTTTACTTCCCCCTAAGTTCTGGCTGGACTAATAATTGAATTAACATGAGACAGACTAGCAGGAGAAAATTACCAACTTTATTACATATGTACATACTTGGGTTACACATGAATGTGAAATTCTAGGACACATTAGACAGTTGCAGCTTATATATCATTTTGGACAAAGGAGAGGGAGGCCGGGGTCTGGGATTTCAAAGGGAAAGCAGACAATTCGCAGGAACATGAGAGGAAGCAAACATTGTGAACATATGCTTGTTGAGCTCTCCAGAAACAATGGAACACAAAAGGTAGTTTAGCAAAGTCCTGAATGTCACTAATCACCTGAGAAATCCAAATCAATACCACAATGAAATGTCATCTCACTCCCATTAGGATGGCTATTATTAAAACACAAAAAGAGAAAAAGCTAACAAGAGTTGCTAATTATGTTAAATGAAGTGAATCCTGGTACACTGTAAGTGGAAATATAAATTTCAACAATACGGACATTGTTCAAAAAAGTAAAAAGTTGAAATATTATATGATTGAATTGCCCTGGTGCATGTGTTTCAGTGCTTGGAGTGTCCTCCCATAACCAAAGGGATGTAGGTTGGATTCTTGGTCATGACAGGTACCTCAGTTTCTGGGTGCTGGCATGTGTGATTCCCAATCTGGATGTGTACAATCCATGGTCCTCATGTGGACCCTGGTCTGGATGTGTACAAAAGCAACCAGTCGATGTTTCTCTCTCTTCTCTCCTCTATTCCCTCCTTTCTATCCCTCCTTCCACCCCCCCCAAAAAAAACAAAAAACAAAAAACAAATGAAAACGTCTTTTAATGAGGATAAAAATAAAGGAATACTACATGATCCAGCAATCTCTTTTCTGGGTATTTATCCAAAAGTGAAATATGGATCTCAAGGAAATATTTGACTCCTATATCTGACTGTACACTCATGGCAGCATTATTTACAATAGCTAAGATATAGTAACAACCTAAATTCTATCAACACATGAATAAAACTGTAATACAATGAACTATTATTCAGTTTTTTTTAACAATCCTGCCATTTGCAACAACACTGATGATGTAAAGGATATCATGCTAAGTGAAATAAATCAGACACAAAAAGATAAACACAGTATAATCTCATTTATATGTGGAATCTAAAATAGTCATACTCATAAAAGCAGAGACTAAAATACTGGTTGTTAGGACAAGAATAGGGGGTTGTGAAGAGGTAGTAGTCAAAGAGTGCAAAGTTTCAGTTATGCAAGACAAATTAAAGAGATCCCCTATACTGCATATTTCCTATAGCTAGCAATAATATATTATATACTTAAAATTTGTAAGAGGACCCTGATCAGTGTGGATAAGTTGTTTGGGCATCCTTCTAGGAACCAAAAGGTCACCAGTTCAATTCCAGTCAGGGCATGTGCCTGAGTGACAAGGTTCGTCCCAGATGGGCCCACACAGAAGACAACCAATCAATGTTTCTCTCTCACATCAATGTTTCTCCCCCACATTTTATCCCTTCTTTCCCCTCTCTCTTTAAAAAAGAAATTGCTAAGAGGGTTGATCTTATATTAACTGTACTTATCACACATGAAAGAACATATAATAAAAGAGGTGGCAGTTATATTTATGGCCTTGATGGTGGTGATAGTTTCATGTGTGCATACTTATTCCCAAACTAATCAAGCTGTGCACATTAAATATGTTCAGCTTTTGCATGTCAATCATACCTCAAAAAAGTGTTTCAGGAGAAATTTCCACTATTTGCCACATTAAAAAAAATGTCATCATGTGAATAGATACAGAATTTTTCTTTTGAGAAAATTAAACACTCATTTATTACAAAAGAAAAGAAAAAGAGAGACATCACAGCTAACCAGAAGTAGACAAAAGCAATTTCAATACGATAAAGAACAGCTGGTAACAATTGCAGAGCTAACGGTACTTACTGGTGTAAGATGAAACGCTTCCTGCCATTGAAAAGTGGCCAATATGTGCATGGTTCCCACTTCAACTGAGCACTGCAGTGGAAGGGCCTGCTAGTGACAGTGCCAAGAAAAACAAGTCAGTTTTATAACAGTTGGAACCAAATGTGTACCTTTATTATACAGTCAATATGAATGTTATACAGAACATCTGTAGGAATCAATAAAAAATAGAATTAGAATTAATACATGAATATAAAAGAGAGAAATAACATGGTTTGCTTTGGAAGGCTCAATATTTTTAAGATGAAACCTCTTCAAAATTTGAAATACAGATTCACCATCAAGATAAAATAGCAATAAAAATCTTTTCCATTTTTTTTAGAAATTGGTAAAAATGTATCCTAAGTTGAATATGTGAATTCAAAGAGAAGCCAAAACTATTTTGAAAAATAAGATGAGATGTGGAGGGCACACTCATGATAACTAATTTCAAGAATTACTATAAAGCTACAGAAATAAAAAAATGAGGTCTTGCTGAAGATTAATATAAACCAGTGGAAAGAAATGCAGATCCCAGAAAAAAATTATGAACACACACATACACACACACACACACACACACACACACACACACACATATATATATATATATATATATATATATATATACACTCAATTGAAATATATATGTGTGTGTGTGTGTATATATATACACATATATACACATACACACAATATACATACACGATACAGGTCTGGGTTTTGTATATATGAGTGTGCGTATGAGATAGATTAATGACAAAGTTGATTTCTGACAGTTATCAAAGAAATTCAATAGGAAAAAAATTACACAAATGGCACTGTAACAACTGGAAAAACCTATAAAAAATGAGCACCTTGTTCCTCATAGCTATGCAGATGTTATTTTGAAATGGATTATAGATTGAAAGTTAAAAGTTAAATTTAAAAATAATATTAATGTAAATGTAGGAAAATATCTTCACCAGCTAGGGTTTAGCAAAGATTTCTCTGAGATGATATATGAAACAATGACCATAAAAGAAAAAATGAAAAAATATCTCTTTCAAACTTTTCTAAAAAAGAAAGACCTGAATCTAAAGAACCATTAATGAAATAAAAAGATAAGCCACAAAGTAAGAGAAAAATATTCCTAGTACATGTATATGACAGAGGACTTCTACCCAATTACATCAGAAATTCTATAACTTGAAAGGAGGGTAAATTAGGCAGGAGGGAGGGTAAATATCTTAGCAATTGACAAAGAAAGAAATGACACTTCCTCCAAAGAAATATGAGAATGGTAAATAAGCACAAAGACATGAGAATGTCTAATGTCAATACAATAAATATAAACAAAAATAAATGTTGCACATAAAACCCTTAAGTCTACAAGAAGGAAGTGTAGGAGAAAATATGTGTACATTTTATTGTATGTAAATTGTATCTCAATAAAGCTATAAAACAAAAACAAAAACAAAACTTATAAATTTTCACTTAACACAGACCTGAATGGCAAAATTAAAAAGACTGATATTAGCAAAATTTGATGAAAAATTGGAGCACCTGAGACTCATATATTGGTGCTATAAATGTTGAAAAAGTTTGGTATTTTCTTTTAAAGTTAAAAATCTACCTACCTTATGACCCAGAAATTCCATTCCCAGATATTTGCTTAAGATGAATTAACACATAAATGTACAAAAATTACTTGTACATGAAAACGTTTTACTCACATTTGCCAAAATATAAGTAGTCTCAATGTACGTCAATAAGAAATAAAAAGACATATTGAGGCACCTTCATTTAATGGACTGTTACCTATCAATAAAAATGATACAAACTGAAGCATGCAACCATAACAGAATAAAATGCAAGATTTTGAGCAAAATGTTAGATACTTCAGATACATATTACAATTATATTAATGTATGATACAGACTTCACTGATTTATGTTGATAGAAATCAGAATCGTAACTGCCTATGTGGCAGGGAAAGGTCAGACATTTTATGGGAAAGTTATATTCAAAGTATTTTGGCTGCTGGTAATTTTCTATATCTTAATTGAAGTTTTGGTTTCATAATTTTGTCAAAACATACCATTTTACACTCAACTTTCATGCATTGCACTATATACATACACACACACACATTCATATTTATCTACACAAAGGAAGAAGTAAAAAATAAAAAAAAAATATTTATGGAATAATTTGCCATTTGCCAGGAGCTATGATGACATGAGAAGTGCAAGCATGAAATAAAAATGATCAACCTCATTCATAGCACAGTTCAAATTGAAATAATATTATATTTAATTGGAAAATCTCTAAAATAAAAACGGGTTCTTAGGTAGAAATTTTTTTTTCCTAAAATCAATATGCTTGATAAGTATGTTCTTCAAATAACTTTCAACTAACATATTAAAAATCATGCTTACAAAAATTATTTCTTCTCTTAAGAAATGAAGTTAAAAATAACCCACCGTAACTCAATGGGGAACCTGAGGATTTTATCCAAAGACTTTTAAATCCTAACAAATAATAACTTTTCTTTATAGTTTTTGTGAATTAGTCTTGAAACATTATCAGATGTAATGTACAACATTAACTTCAGGAGAAAATATTCCATGAATAGTTTCATTTTTTTGTGTGTGTGGTCAGAGAACTTGCTAAGCATAGTTCTGGCAACCTGGTTAAAGGATAAGTAAAAGACAACAACCTTGGAATTTAATAATGGAGATTTTGGGATAGATTTATAGGTTCATGTCCTTGGAGCCATTTATTTAAATTCCAGAGAACAAATGACTTGGAGACCACCTTCTCTTCTTCCCAGAGAGGATTTATTTACATTAGAAAAATAAGTTTTTCCAATGTCACCCTAAAAATTCAATTTTAAAAAAAGAAAAAAAAGTGACTCTGGCCGGAGGAGGATGCAGGATGAGGGCCTTGAAGGTTTCCCAGGCATTGATTCGTTCCTTCAGCTCAACCGCCCGGAACCGTTTGGAGAACCGAGTGGGTGAGAAACAGAAACTCTTCCAGGCGGACAATGACCTCCCGGTGCACTTGAAGGGCGGGGGAACCGACAATGTTCTGTACCGACTGACCATGGCGCTGTGTTTTGGAGGCACCGTCTACAGTCTGTATTGTCTTGGCTGGGCTTCCTTCCCCCATAAGAAGTGAGACCAAGAAGCCTTCAGGACCTGAAGGACTTGAACAGACGTCAATAAATGCGCTGGCTTCTTGGGGAACCCAAAAAAAAAAAAAAAAAAAAGAAGCTCTCTCCCTTTCTCCATCTCTCTTTCTCTCTCTCTGTCTCCTTCTGTCTCTCTCTCTCTCTCTCTCTCTCCCCACTTCTCTGTAGAGTTTGCTTCTGTTACTTCAGTGCACTAGAAATCATTTACCACATAACATCTCTATTTTGTGTATGTTTAATCTAGAAAATTTGACTTGAAAGAAACATTGCCTTTATACCTAAAAAGGGGAACTTATATAGGATCAAATTTTGGACAGTTGAGTTCTGCATTTGGTTTTAAAGTCAAAAACAATTATGACATTATCTAATATGTTAGTGACAATATATTAAAGATTAGTTCAAAAGTCAGTTATTTTCAAGAACTTTGAATTATTGGAGTTGCAAGAAAATGAAGGCAAAACAGACAACTATAATGATTGGCTTTTGAAAACACCTTTAATGTAAATTATTGACCCCTTAAATAAGCAGACTCTATCGAACAAATCTAGACATCATGTTCTAGAAATCATGTTCTTTTCTTTCAGCTGTCAAGAATTTTTATTTCTCAGATAGAAAAAATATACATATTCCAAATTTTTTCGCAGAGAAATGTTTAAATTAACTCTTTAAGTGGAAATACAATGCTTCAAAGATTCAGGATACAATTTAAGTTATATATTTCATAGTTTGAAAGTAAATGAAAATAACTTTTAAGTTTTTTTATTTTATTTTACTTAAGAAATAGCATTTTCTTTAATGTCATCATATATCAGGTGTAGTAAACTGTATTTCACTTAATATTTTACTTATCAAATATATAAATATGGTCCTTAACTTGCCAAAGAGAAGAGAATTATTTTATGAAGTCAGCAAGAATATTAACATTAAATAAATAAATTGTGAAAAATTTGTGTGAATAATATTGCTGGGAGAAAACAGGGCTCTTGTTTAGGGTTAAGCCATCAGTTAAAAATCCTAACTTTTCATTTGAATACTTAGAAAAATTACTTTAAATCTTAGGGTACTCATTTGTAAAATAAGGTCGACCTTATCAAAAATAAGTGTGAAGTACCTGGGACAATTTTTGGCAAGGCACAGGCACTGGATAAATATTATATAGGAAAAAACAATACAGTTGTAATACTAAGGTCATAATATTAATGACTAAAATAACACCTGTATTGCTTCACTTAAGTTTGTAAACATGAAGCTAAAAATTAAGAAAATCTTCAGTTATACTTAATGTTTATGTCCATATTTATGTCTCTTTTTTTTAATTCTTAAAAGCTCTTTTCAAATGCTTCCAGTATTTCTATGTCATAAAATGTACCTATTCTTCAGCACAATCTCATCTTCATAAAACATTTCTCAGCTCACACTAAATATTCTTTATTTTCTAAACTTCCTCTCCACACTGTTTATAGCTCCTTGCATATGCATCTATCTCGTTTGTAAGATTACAAACATTCTTATTAGAAATTTATACTGAGATCAAAGTTAAGCTCAATATTTTAAAACATTTTATAAATTAACACAACACAACATAAACTATTATGAATGTAATTAGAATTTTAACCATCTAGATTTGTTGGATAGCCTGCTTATTAAAGGGGGACAATCATTTACATTAAAATATGTTTTCAAAAACCTCAAAATTATAATTGTCTATTTGCCTTAATTTTCCATTTTCTTACAATTCCAGTGATTCAAAACTCTCTCAAATATTTGACTTTTGAACCTTCAAGATATTTGCTACGAATCTATAATATACTGTCACTGACATGAAGTAAGGATATAGCTCTTCCTTCCCGGTGAAACCTAATTTGGCTAAGATGTTTCTGTATCCCTTGTAACTGAAGAGGATATCTCATCCACAGCTTTAGGAATAAACATGAAATAGTTTTAGTGAATTAGTCCACAACATTCCCCAGGTGACATTTAAAACTCAAAATGGGCAATCGTGGTATAAATAGGTCCAGATTAAGAGACGCATTTATAAATTGGGCAAAATATCTTTCCTTTCCTGTTTCTCCTTGTTTGACGAGAAAAAGGAAAACTTCAGACCCAAATGCCATTGGTAACCATCTTATGATCATGAGGAAGGAACCAACAGACCTACTGGACGTGACAGCAGTACTGCAGAGCTGAGAGACTGTGTCAGTGTGATCACTGATGACATCGACAAGTGCCTAGTTACATAATACCAACATCCATTTTTACGTTTGGACTTCCAATTTGGTAAAATATTGAATATCTCATATAAGAAAGTTTCTGTCATGATTTTAAGTATTGCTTCAGAGACAAGCCACAATTAATACTACAATTTTCCAGAAGGAAGTAGAATCCTCTTTGGCTTCAGTGAAACAGAATTGTATGTCCTCTCATTACAGAAATCTGTGCTTAGGTAGTTTAGGACAGCTTTGTGGCATCATCAGTGATTCGCTTCTGTCCAGAGGTTTGTCCATGTCCTGTGCTTGATTTCTGTCTTCAAGGTCATGTAAGGATCTGAGATACCTGCAAGAGTTCTAGCAACCACACACATGCTCCAGGCCACAGACTGGGTACAAGTTAGGAAACATGGATACAGCTCATGGTTGAATTTGCTCTCTAGACAAATCTTCCTGAGGTTTATTAAAGTATGACCTTCATTGGCCAGTCATTGATAATCTTGCTATCACTAAAGGAGGATAAATGTGATCTTTATCCTGGATGTTATTGTTTTCAATTAAATCATGCAGTTCTTTTGCTAAAGAAGAAAAGGAGAATGTGTATTCAGGGATAGGAAGCCCCCCCCTCATATGGAGCTGAAGACAAAATTTTTGGAAAATAGTTCCAAAGTTTTGTTTTTGATCATACTAGAAATAGCTTTCGATGGGAGATATTTTAATAACCCTAACCTGACATAAATAGCTGCTGATAATGCAGCCTAATTTATTTCTGAATACTTTTGAGTAAATGCTCAACTCCTCAAGCTTCTGAGCGCAAAAGTGAAAGCATTCAGTACAGTAAATACAATAGAAGATACCAAACTTTGACTGTATTGGTGTTGTTGAAAAGTAATGTTTTAATTCATGTTAATTAGGCTAAAATAATAAAATCAACAAGGAAATAGTATACTTTCTCAAGTGCTAGGACACCCTTTGCAGCAAGATCACATCATAGCATAACACTGTAGAAAGGCAGTCATGGGTACAGACTGTGAATCTCCAATGCTTTAAATGATCTTTTTTGAAAAGACGAAAAACAAATTAAAAAGAAAGGTGGTATTTGGACATTTTTAATATTCCCAAGTTATATATAATCTTCCTAATTCAAGTTCTAAACATTCTCAACATTTTCATTAAGCTTTAACCCTGTTAATATGATTTTAATATTAGTTGGCCCCAGGACTGGTATTGAAAATAAATCCTGATTATGTTACAACTACAACATTTATTCACCCAGCATTGATTTACATATTTCAAAAACATAAAGAGTAAAATTCCCATGCATTTTTACTGCCTTTGGATTTTCTAGAGAAGTTTATTTTACAGTGCTACAAAAATTCAGACAGCTAGTTCATTAGCCAGACTTTAAATATTGTTAGTAAACTGGATAATTCAACTCTCCAAAGATGGCTGCAGAGTAGATGAAAGTTGCAACCACTTGCTCCTGCCCCCAAACTAGATGTACAGCTGAAGCGCCAATCAACCTGAACAATAAAATGAAACCCAGCTGATATGAAATACTAAAACCAAGGAGTACAGAAGATGCTATACAGAAACTGGTAAGAGGGATTGAGACATGAAGGGGGAAAGCCCCTGCATGCAGCTGTGGTGGCATCTGAGAGACTGGATAGGTGTTATAACTGTGGAGCTCTCTTCTCCTATAAGCAAGGGTTCTTAACCCCCTCAGGGATCCTCAATCCACAGCAACCAAGACAAAAAGAGGAGACTGTATAGCATCTGGTAGTGGAATCAGTGAAATCCACCATGCCTGTGAGATTCAGAGTGCACCTTCCAAGGATGGAGTACCCCTATTGTTTCAGCACCAGCCCAGGGAGTTCATGATACAGACTCCAACTGCTGGAAAGGCTCTAGCCACACTCGAGTCTTATGAAGGGACCTGCAGGCTACAGCCAGCAATGACTTTAAGGGACCTTCTATTTTCAGGAGAGACTTTGGATGGAGACCCAGGCAGTGACTTAACTGAGAGGCTTGGAAAAGAGGACCAGACTCCTCCATCTCAAGTGCACAGGCAGCATCCTACTCCCCACCTGTGGGGTCACTCTTGCTGCTAAGTTCAGAGGCTCAAAGAAGTAGCACAGAGCTGGGAATTTTGGCCTACCTTGCAATCTTCGAAATCATGCCATACCAAGCTGGGATTTTAGGTCCTGCACTTCTGACATCACCTATGGAAGAAATCAGGGGTGTGGTACAAAACTGGTAATTTGTGCCCCACTAAGTAGCAAGGTGTGTGGTGCATGGAGCTGAAAGTTTCCAACTGTGTCTCCTGGGGAGGCTTCTGTCTGGAAGCCCGATGGGTGAGTGCTGAAATGCTTGGAAACTTTGCAAGAAGACAAACCCAGTCTCAGCCCATCGTAACTCAGGAAAGAAAAGTAATGCCTGCACCTCTCACTCCTTACAGGTTTGTGGACACCATGCCAAAGGGAACCTATTTATATCAACCCAGACAAGTCTTAAATATATCTGCTGGGTACATTTCCATTGGGAGAAAGAAGAGCAGCTCAGAAAGGGAACTTACAAAGTGTGACACCTTCGGAGTCTATTGCCTGGAGAGAGGAGAGAGAGCTTAGCCTCCTCCTGAGGTCTGACACTGAGACAGAGATCTTAGTCTCTTTCTGCAGATTGGGCCAGCATTAGCCCAAGTGTGATACTATTTTTATATCCCCTTGAGCCCAGGGTTTGTGAGCTCCCTCATGCAAAACGGAGAGCTGTATGTACCATTATAATATGGCAGCAGCAAGCCTCCCTTAGGGAACTAAAGCTGGAGACTCTGGAAGATACTGAGGGATTTGACTTTGAAGCACAAGCTACTTTCAT